AAATAGTCTTTATTAATAAACCGATACTGATACAAAACACTGTCTGGTAAAGTGGGATAACAACAAACCAAAGAGCCTTAGTAAGAGATTTAACCTTCCCTAACTGCAATGGTTGCACTGCACCGTCTGTAGATACTCAGTATCAGATTTTATAACAGTTCTTGGGGTAAGAGTAGAGTTCTCATTCTTCAAGAAGCGTCCGTTTTAGTTGTCTGGTGTGTTCCGAAGGTTAAGATTGTGAGGCCAGGCGTCTTTCTAAAGTGTATTACACCTGTTCAATTCGAATTAAATCAGGGGAGCATGCTCCTCAATAGACTTTGTGGATATCTTCACTTTCCAGGAGCTCCTCAACATCATGGGTCCTGTGTGGCCGTGTTTGCCATCCAAAAAACAAGTCAGGACTAATAGCACTCTGGAAAAGATGCACGAGGGGGAGGATAACTTCACCACACAACCGATCTTCGGTAAGTGAATATCTGTCGAAAATGTGGAGCTCTGTCCGTCCGTTCATTCATCATGCCTTCTCATGCAAGCAAGCCAGGACCACCCCAATGGTCCTTTTTCTGATGTTAGTGGGAATATTCCTACCTCTCTCTATATCAAATATCAACGAAAATCGTGCGTCAGACTGAAACAACTCTCGTCAATACAGAGCACGTTATTTCACTAATGAGGTGTCCAGTCTTTGTAATTTCTACACCACTGTAAACGGTGTCACGGATGAGTTGCTGCCAATGGTATGCAGTGTCCAGGACGAAAATGCCATCTTTATGAAGTCGTCTGGCCACAGTAAACCAGGACGCATGTCTTGGGCAATTGTTGAGCAATGTTGCCGTTGTTTAGTTTAGATCTCTTTTCGCCTGCGAGGTGATATATTGTCATCAATCACCGTTTTTAACTTGGCCGACCACCATCAACTTTTCTTACAGCTGTATCTTTCGTTTGGAAGGCTTTTCAAGCTCGGGAAATGAAACTTTTGTAAATTCTTGGGCGATAGTCATCAAAATACGCCACTCCTCAAGCTTGCGAATTCTCTACCAGATAGAAAAGTGTTTTGGTGTTTTCTTGCAGCTATACTGTACGTATAATCTCACTTTCACTCTCAGAAGAATGCCTGGAAAAGCACCTTCCCTTCTTTTTTTTAAGTTGCCTTGAGCTGCTCGTGTTGACTCCTCGTGTTTTACGTGCCCTGATATATTCTTGATGTCATGGCGTAGATATCCGCATATGCGTCACCTTTCTACGGACTGCAAATAGACCCTTCAAAAATTTCGTGCTTTATGTTGAAAAGTAGATTTGTTGCTTAAGTTTTGCACACTAGTATAGAATCTACTCATATTGCTGATACAAAAAACTGATAAATTAATACGAACATAATACATTGACGCATAGCCCTCTTTATCTTTCTTCTAGACCAGAATCTTCAGAATCTCTGGTCAATGCAACCAGAGATTTTTTATGCTAAATTTATTTATTAAATATCGTTCTTCGCACAAAATTTAAAATCATAAAATATTTAAAAACAGCATATCTTTAAAATTCTCGACAGAATGTTAGAGGTTGACATACATACTTTTTATATTCGCTATATTATTTCATTGAAAACTAGCTCCTTTTACTGCCAGCCACTTAAAATAGTTATCAGAAAGAAGAAAAAGTATATAATGATTTCAATGCTTCCAGCTAGTCAAATTTCATAAAAATTGAATATTTCTAATTAGACATCTCATGATTTTAATACATTTTCATTTAACTCAACACACTAAAAAGGAGAAAAAATATTTTTAAGAACTATATTTATTGTTTTAAATCGCTTAGTATTTTACTCAACAAAACTTCCGATTAAATTTGAAAAAGGTTTAGGTTTTATTGAAGGGCAATACGCTGGCACATGGAAGATAAAAGGATTTTATTTCTAACTGCGGCGACACATTGCTTTCATACAAGCGAGTTTGTTAATTAAAACTGAAAAATAAAAATCGTACATTTTTCCAAAAGGCAACAGTTTCGCAGGCTGCAGGTGAAAATGTTTTATTTCGAACAGTTTTACCGCTGTTCGCTTTCAAGTCATTCTGTTAATCAAAATATTATTAATGTTTTGCAAAATATGAAATAAATAATAAAATAATTTCGAAATTCAAAATTCGGATTTCCAGGTGCTCATGTTCGAATGGAGGACTACGTAATTCAAAATTTGATGGCTCTAGGTATCGTTGTTTTTTTTACAATGCGAGGAATATACATATATAAATGCAGATTCTTTCTTATTTAATTTAATTTTTCTTAATAACACAGGACGTGAACATTTGGTAGCAGCAATTTAAAAATGCATACGCAGTGCTTTATTCTTTTGGTTTCTAATCCACTTAAAGTCTTCTTGACACTATGTATGTAGCCCAGAAACATTTTTCTTCCAGAAAAAATAGGAGTTCTTCGTGGAAAAGCATTTTTTCCAGAGACTTTGAAGTTTTTCACATCCTCTGACTCTTCCCATAAAATTGAAACGCATATTCAGTAGTTAAAATCAATATCAATTTTAAGAAATGTTAAAAAAATTACACAAGTAACAATTTTCTCTTTTTACTTCAGTTCAGTTGGGCAATAAATTACTGGAGAAACTCGCCTTATTTAAGACTCCGACAAAACTGAGAAGTACCCAAACTATGATGCAGTAGGCTGATGCTGAATTTAAGTCCTGATTGTATATAAATAATATTACCTATTGCCGATTGTATTAGGTAATAAAAAAAAGATTCTTATAGAGCCGCAAAATGTTTTCTTATTTCTGTGAACATGAATATGAAGAACTTTTTTTAAAACAAAAACTCGAAAGTAATTAAAACTTCTGTAAGGGCTTTTTCTTGGTGTAAATGCTGTTCACTGTTTTTTTCGGCTTACCAGTATCGAATTAATTAAATCTAAGAAGAGGTAATCTACTTAATAATATCGAAACAGGATAATAAAATCACAAAATTAATCTGAAATATATTTTTATGCATTTTGACAATTTATCGTGTTTTCGTTATTTCCTGACTGACTGTTATAAATAAATAATTTATTGCTGCGTATATAATAATTAATTTTCTACATTATAATAATAATTTTCGAGTCCTAGTCATCAAGTTCCATTCTTTTAAAATAGTTTCAGAGATTATATAAATTAATTCCAGTTTGTATAATTAATTAAACAATTTTACTAGAACTGCCATTAAGTTTGATAATAATTATGATTCAATTCACAACGGAATAAAATAGATATAAAGGTGAATCCATTCCACCCCTCTTTAATCTATTCAGCACAATTGACAATTAAGTTATTGCTAAAAATATTTAAAGAAAATCCTAGTAATTCTGGGCAAGGCATTTAAATCAAATAAAAGCTCAAATAAATAAATGCAGATATGAATGGTCTTTAAAGTAGTTTAGATTTAAATACTAATGGCTTAGTAACAAATCAGTTCTAGTAAGATTATGAATAAAACTTTACATCGCATAAAATTGAAGGAGAATTATATAAATTAATAATTTACTTTGTAAATGACCAAACAGGATTTTTCTTTTTTAAATGAATGTATTTATTTTTTTAAAGAATTTATTTGTTCCAAAACTATAATAAACAACTAATTTCAATTAAAAACTTCTAATGAATTTTTATACTGAAATATTATAACACGAATTAAAGCAATGTAATAATTAATTAATTAATTAATGCTATTAATGAAAGAAGCAATACTTTGATATCAAATAAAACAGAAAAGATCAACTGAGAGAATTTTTTTAAATTTAGAATTCGCTGGGCTTAGCCTCGGATTCGGTTCAGACTCACTTTTAAAATACAAAATCTTCCGAAACCTAATAATAGGAACGAAAATGTTGTCAACTACAACATGCTTCAAGAAAACAATTTAAATATTTCTGCTTAATGCTATTATTAATATTCTTCCCCTGATATAAAGTTTACTGCATGTTATAGGTATTGCAAAGGCATATTTGTTACTCTCCATATAAAAACGCATTTCTAAGAAGTTATGATCACTGCTTACAAAAAAGAATGCTTGAGTTTTAGTTTTTTTTAAAATTTTATTATCTATTTTTAAATAAAACATATTAATTAGCCTTATATTATTACTTATTTGATTGATTGACTATAAAAAGCAAATTAAGCTAATAACAAAATGAAATGTTAAGGAAAGTATATTAAATGAAAAGCGAGCCCATAGCTCAAATCTTTTTCAAATTAATTCAGTATAGCTTAGAAAATTTAAGTACATTTATGTAATGGAATTTTTTTAATTTATGTAATTTTCATGACTAAAAATATTTTAATTGTTATATACTGTCAACTGAAAACTTACACTTCCTGATTTGTCATTCAAAGATATTAAACCAAAACAAATATTATTTAAATTATATTTACTTCGTACAGAAATATGTGAACTATTAAACACTGCTTCATACTTCAAGTAGCATATAAGTACAAGAGTGAAAAATACCATGATATGATACAAATATATTGCATAATCATTTATTAAAAAAATCATCAGATCATTTAAACTTTGCCCTTTTCCTTTAATTTTTTTTTTACTTTTTATAAACTCTAAAACTTCTATTTTAAGGAAAAAGTAAAGGAAATCAAACTGGAAGTCTGTTTCCTTGACTGTTTGCCTTTGCATTGCTTTTGCGTAACTTATGCCTTATTTCATACAAGATGTTTGTCGCATATAACGTGTATAAAAACCCTGCATGTGAAGCTTCATCGCATGACTTAAGGCTTAGCAGGAATGTTACTTTACAGGCGATCTCAAATATGCCCACATAATAAAGAATGTAAACTTACCTTTTTCAGCTTCGGGCTTTAGACCCGAAATTATATGAGATTTCAGCTCATTAAGAAACGTTAGAAATAGCTCTTCATAAGCAAGACACCATAAAAATTTATCTTACTCTGAACCCGCATCACCTAGCTCCGTGTTATTTGTTGGTTATGCAAGAAGCTATCGCCAGATGGCAGTGTAGTATTTTTAAATGGCGACTACCACTTTACAGCAGGCATGGTATGGAAGGTTACCGATAATACAAAGCTCCTACTCATTTTCGTTAGGCAGTATTAATAAATATGCTGCTAGTATCATATTACATCAAGTGAGATAAAAATGTGTTTCTATTTTGTTTTAATAACAGTGATATATTCTTTTTTAAAGGTTTGGTGTGATAATTTAATCTTTCAATGTAAATGTGGTATTTTTATCTTTAAAAAAGACTGTAGCAACTCAGTAATGTTAATCTGATTCAATAATAAATGCTTAATAATGTTTTTCAGATGGATTTTTTGTATTAATAGTGATGAATTTTAATCAGTTTAGACCTTTTTTTAAAGAAATCATTCTTGAATTTAAGAAAGTTATAAATTAACTTTATTTAATATTTTATGGCATAAAAGATATTTTATATGAACTAATGAATTATATTTGGGTACATTGAGCTGTTTATACAATAGAGATGCAATGGAAGGAAAAGGATATTGCATACTTGCTCCAAACTCAGTTATTCAAATAAAATAGGTGAAGGACCTGATCTTCATGATTTCATTGCTGGTGTCATTCCTAGAGGATCAACTTATTCTGATTACAAAGGAGAACTTAAATTAAATACTGCTGATAGAAAAAGGTATTTTTACATTTTTCTTCATAAATTTGTGTACAAACTGACAAGTAACATCATTATATTGTTATAACACATTCTTTATTTTGCTGAAGTTAGACTGAAAGAAAGATTAATATTTTAGCAGGTAGAATATGTTTGCATTAGAAAACAAAGAGTAAACTAGTCATGAATTTGTTTTCACTATAAATCTGTAACTAGGAATTCAAATTAAGCTGATGTTCATATAGAGTTAAACATAAAATGACCAATTTAATTAGGTTATAGTTCAAGAAGTTAGATTACTGAATATTTATAATAATTCATTCTAAGGAAGTTTGCTAGGAAAGGGGACAAAAGTGATGTAATTTTTTATGTGTAATTTTTAATCTAATTAATAGATGCATTTTAAATGAGAAAAAGAATAAATGCATCTATTAAGTAATGATAGCAGGTTGTTTCCTAAATGTTTTCTGGAACATGATTTATTTTTCATTCTCAGAATTATTTATTAGCTGAAATCCTTGTACCTAGGCAATGTGATAAAAAGATATTATATACTAGGATGGCTTTTTTTTTTTTTTTTTTTTTTTAATCCTTATCCCATTATATAGAGTTTTAATTTCAGTGATTGTTGCTGCAAGTTGGATTTTCAATTTATTGGCTTTTGAAATAAGCTTACTGTCAATTAACTCTATTACAATGCTGTTTGTTATCTCTGCAACATTTATTTAATATAATCTTGGTTGATAAAGTATTTAATTTTTTAATAAAAATCTTTTTTTTTTTTTTTTTTTTTTTTCATCTTGACCCATATGCTTGGTGAACATTTTAACTAACTGTCCTCACATTATCATCCAGTTGAATGAAATAGACCAAAAAATAATTATTTGAATATTGTTAATATACTAACAATTTTTAAATCATTTTATTTAGCAATTTAAAGTGATGTCATTTTATTTAAAACTGGGGTCTTAGTTTTTTTTAGAGGGGTATGTTCCTTGTGTACATGATTGGTATTAGAAATTACTAATGGAGTATGATAAAGAGAATTTCAAATGATGTTAAGTTTAATGGATTAAATGATTTGTCTGATACTAGTGGAAAATCCACACTTTTTTTTTTTTGCATTTCATGATTAAAATATGATTTAATAACTTTAAAGCCATAATACTTTTCCATAGGTGCAAACTTTCCCACTCTTACTGGAAGATTCACAGTTTTTCAAGACATCTCCCAGCTGTTCACCAGTTTCATGCTTTCTAATTTTTAGCCTTTAATAATAAAAATTTTTCCCTGCAGTAAATGAAATTTATTGAATTAATGAAACTTCAATTAGACAAATTTCATCCTCTCACCTCTAGTGTTTTTCAGAATACATTTTTAAAATTAAATTTAATGTTATCTGAATTGTATTTTTTTATTATATTTTATTGTTCGTATTTAATTCCATATGACCATATGATCTGAATTGGCTTAATCTACGATATTTGTAGATTTTTATATGAAGATTCAATTAATTAGTTAGTATTTGAATTTAATTCTATTTCGCATAAATATATAGCACATTACTAAGTACATTAAATTATAAATTTTATTTTCACCATATTTATATGTGCTTTGATAAATGTAAAAGCTTTCCTTCATTACTCAGGATTTTCTCAGTATGAAAGCATATGAAACTTTTAAAATGAAATTTGCCAAAGAACATAAAATTTACAATGTCTAATTAATGCTAGTATATTTGGTTGATGTTTGGATTATGGTAACTTGACGATTTTTTGGCGAAAATGTGGCGACCAACTCTGCTACAGCAACCCTCTATTTTTTTTTTTGTCTTCACGAAGTAAAGACATGTTGGTACTTTTCCGTTTCGCCGGTGCAAATCTCGCCAAGCAGACTTTATTGGCGACAACATACATTATACACACAAAAAATATTAAAAAAATGTTAGTCCTCAGAATTCTTTTTTGAAGGCATAACATTTTAATATCGCTTTAAAATTTTATAAAAAGCCAATAAATAAAGACAATAAATTTATAAAAAGACATTAATTTAAGAATTTACTATGCTTTCATGGTTCAACATCCTGTTTCGCCGGTTCATATCACGTGATCCCAAGCGATCTCATCTCACGTATACTACTCTACAAAAATATAATGCTCTCAGTAATTATCTACATTAATTTCAAGTTAAATCTTAAATTGGAACACAAATTTAAATGCAAAAAATACTTCAATTCGTACGAATAGCTTACTCAGAAATTATGTAAAACTGCAGTGCTTTACTTCGCTAATGCATTCTCATTAGAATTGATGAATTTAATACTTGACTTTACCTTTTCTATATTTTCGGCTTCGGGTAAGCGCTGTGATTGCATCCTAATTGATTTAATTGCCGAAAATGGCCTTAGACATAAAACTGAACTATTTGAATGAGGCGTAAAAGGTTACCAGCGAGAATATTCCGTTTGGCATCGGTTGTACCATTATTGGCGTCTTTATCGCTTGCGCCGACAAAACGGAAAAGTACCGACATGTTTCTTTTCTCTTTATTTACTCAACACTTTTTCCAACAATCTGCTAGCCGAATTACACTTATGCTAGAAATTTTATGGAACAAAACTGCTTAATCATGACAAATATTAACTGCAAAATTGGGAAAAAGTGCAGAATCGCAAACTCCTTGCCGCGTTTTTCAAAATCGCACATACACAGTAACCATGTACACGTCGACTTATTTTTACTTAAAAAAACTTCCCAGAATTGCACAAAAATGGCATTGCGCACACTCTTGAAAATCCATCTACACTGCTATTTTCTCATAAATTATAAAAATTTGCATGAAAATGCAGGAAAATTTTGTGAATCTTTAAACTCGGTAAAAAGCACATATATGAAATTACCTGATCGCGAAAAAGTATATACCCTATCCAAGGATGAACATTTCCACATATAATATAAATAAAATATCCAAAAACTTTTACCTCTAAATTATCTATTATAAACGTCACCAACGAATTCATAACAAAACATTAAAAATGGTTACAAATACTTAGTCACAAATATTTAAATTATTTCCATGCACGTTTACTTCCACTGAAACATATACCAAATTACTACAAACATATAATTCACAAAATAACTATCATTTAATTAAAATATAATTAAACCATGTACACCTCGACTTATTTTTACTTAAAAAAACATCCCAGAATTGCACAAAAATGGCATTGCGCACACTCTTCACTATATCCATGTACACTGCTTTTTTCTCATAAATTAGAAAATTTCACGAAAATGCATAAAAATTTTGTGAATCCTTAAATTCGGTAAAAAGGACATATATGAAATTACCTGATTGCGAAAAAGTATATACCCTTTCCAAAGATGGACATTTGCACGTATAAAATAAGTAAAATATCCAAAAACTTTTACCTCTAAATTATCTATTATAAATGTCACCAACAAATTTATAACAAAATATTAAAAATGATTACAAATACTTAGTGTCAAATACTTAAATTCTTTCCATGCACATTTATTTCTCCTCAAACGTATTCCAAAATACTACAAACATATAACTCTCAAAATCACGATCATTAAATTAAAATATCACTAAACCATGTACACGTCGACTTATTTTTACTTAAAAAAACATCCCAGAATTGCACAAAAATGGCATTGCGCACACTCTTCACTATATCCATGTACACTGTTTTTTTCTCATAAATTAGAAAAATTTCATGAAAATGCATGAAAATACTCAACGTATTCTACTCAAACGTATTCCAAAATACTAAAAACATATAACTCACAAAATCACGATCATTAAATTAAAATATAATTAAATTAAAAAACACTACTTAAAATATAAATAAGCACATACATTAAATTAATAAAAATTAGATTACAATCCTAATTACTTTAAACTAAATCATTGCTAATAACAATTTTCCAATAATATCATATTAATTTATTTACTCCTTACATTCAGAACAATGCATAAAAATAATATCCTCAAATGATTAAAAATACTAACTTACCTAATCTTCAGAATCTTCATTACGTGGCACGCACACTTCCACTATTTCACACAACACACAATGAAGCTTAATACAAAATAATATAGTACTACAGTTTTCCAAATTTCCCCCCTTTTCCGATTAAAGAACTATAATTCGTCCATTAATGTCACATGACATATCTCATGATCTCTCATTTCTCTCACACAAAATAATGCGTAATCGGAACTGATTACTTCTCACATTATTACCAAAGTCCTAGGTAGTAACCTTTATCGCCTCCAAAATGTCGCCAAACTACCAGTTACCATATTCCAAAGATCAGCCGTATATTTTATAGCAGAATTTTTACTTCAAACAGATAAGTAATCTGAATCATGCATTATAAAGTGAATTAAAATCAGTTTGGCATTCATTTGAAATGGTGTTACTATATGGCAGGAAAACTCCCAGTTTTCTTGCAAAAATCTACTATCTTTGAAGATTTCAAGTTTGGCAACTATACTTTTCATGTATTATATATGCCATTGCATTTTGATTTAGAAATTGCATTAGTTTAATTACTAAAGTTCAAGTCATTTGTAAACTATGAATTAAGATGAAACCTTTTAATTATTATTGGTACTTTATCTAGGTAAGACATGTATTTTCTTTTTGAAAGTATTTTGGTATTTCATATTCTTCAGTAATCTGTAAATAATATTCAGTCTCTGCTTTATAGCAGAAAACAGTAAATAAATGCTTGTAGAAATCTACATGGTAAATGCTGTATTAATAAAGTACATAATGGATGTGTAAAGCATTGATGCTTTAAAGATGGACTCTGAAAGTATTACTATTGTGTATGAATATTTTATATCTGCTTATTCTTTACAGCCGACTCAGGTTACCACCATGGTTGAAAAGCAAAATTCCTGTTGGTAAGAACTATCATCATTTAAAAGAAACTTTAAGGAATTTAAATCTGCATACAGTAAGTTTTGAAACTAAAATACTTATTTCTTTTTCAGATCTTGCTAAATATTCTAATCTTGAGCTTAATGTAGAGAACCCTTATTTTACGATAATTCAATTTGTGATTTAAATTTTTGCCAATTCAGAAATTAGGCTAAATTAAGGGAGGAAGTTAAAAATTTAACTCAATCAAAAATAGGATAAAAATAAAAAATAAATTTCTGAAGGAAAAGTACAGCTGTGGATTGTTGTCACACTCAACTTAAATAGTGCATTTAAGCTCAGTGTACTGAGAAACTTCCTTGCGCATAATACAATGACTGAAAAATGTAACATAATTGGTAGTAATTGATAATGAAGTCATGTTGCTAAGAGTAAGCTTCTTATTTTAAATTATTATTTTAAGCATTAGCACCTTGATATAAACTTCTTAAAGGAAAAGGTGTGACTAAATGATTTTTCATTTCTTCTTTGATGATGCAGCTAAGTCTCAGTATCTTGTTATAGTATTATCTGCAACCCATATTATCTACAGTGTCGTGAGCAACTCAAGGATTGTATAAATGCAATTTTTTAAAAAGGTTAAGTTTTTACGGTTTGACAACATTATATCTTTTTTTTTTTTTTTATATATATATATTAGAATAAATGAAAGTAAAAATGCACCATGACTTTGCATTAAGGTTTGCCTGTTTTAAGTGAATTAATTGGGTGGATTGCCCGTATTACGTGATTATAAGTTCTTTTAATGGAGTACTGACTGAATGAACAAAATTCAGGTAGAGTCTCGTAACATACACTATCTCCCTTCATTACTGAATGAACTTAGCTAAAATGAATATCTGAGAATATATTACACCAGTAAAGTCATACCAGTACCACTGCTGAATACCTATATAGTGATGCTGCAGTAAATTACTATTTTCCTTTAAATTGGATATGAAAAACTTAAGTTGTTTCATGCCAGTGTAAAAGGTAAAGTTATGAAAAAAAAGTTAAAAATAAGAAATGTTATGTGAAATTCTGTCAATTTGGAGGGTGATTAATTTAAATCCCTGAAAGAGAATTCCAGTGAGAATTTTGCATCTCCTTTGTATAAAGATAACTTTATCAGCCATTAACACAATTATGCCAACTTGAGGTTATTTTATTTTGCATACTTAAAATTTTGTTTTATTATTTTATTTTAATATTAGAATAAATATTTTAAAAAATTTTATTAAAAATCCTAAAATTTCTATTGAAAACAGGCAAAAGAATGCTGTTTTTGAGCTGTGGAATGTGTTTTAATATCTACATCATATAAAATGGAGTCACTTGCTAAGGAATGCAAAAAATGCACAACTATAATTTTCTGATAAATTTCCTCTATGCTGTTCTAGTGTTTGATTTAAAAAGCAGTTTTCTAAAAATAAATAATTTTATGTTTGTATAACTGAATGTTTATACTGAATTGTTATATCCAAAAAATATTTTGGTATGTTCTAAAATTAATTAAAAATATAATAAATTATAAAATATTAAAATATAAATATAATATAATATAATATAAATAAATATAATATAATATAAAAATATAAAATATTATAAAAATTTATAGAATAAACTATTTACAATTAATTTTTTACATGTTTCAGGTATGTGAAGAAGCTAGGTGTCCTAATATAGGTGAATGTTGGGGTGGTGGTGAATATGGTACTGCTACAGCAACTATCATGGTTATTATTTTCACTTCACCTTTTAAAATTCTATATTTGAAATAGTTTATTTTAAAAACATGCTATCTTGTTATCATGCAGTATGTATTTTGAAAAAGAAGCATTTCATTATTTGCCCCAAATTATTTCGTTGTGATTTTAGCTGTTTTGTTAAATACAGTCAAAAGTCGTTAATCCGGACTCGTCGGGACTTCGGCGATTCCGGATTATAGATCATCAGTTTAAATCTGGTAAGATGGCATGCAGAAAATTAAAAATATGAAACCGTAATTTATGAAATAAAGAACAATTATGGTCTAAAGGGTATCAAAATTACAAAAAAAAAAAAAAAAAAAAAAAAAAAAAAAGCTTAATATTTATTTGTTTACTTTATTAAACATTTCTTTCAATGTAAGTTGTTTCGTTTTATGTGATAATACTTTCTCTTTAATTCTATAAACAGACATAATTCCTTGTTCAGTTACAAAGTTCCACTGTTCAAGTCCTATAATTGCTGTGTCAAGAATACCGACTAATTTGTCAATCGAAATTTTTTCGTTTTCAATAACCTCTGTGTCACTTTCTTCACTATCGGAAGCAAATTATAATGTCGAGGAATTTGATTTAAATCATATCAAAGACATAATATATTGAGATGAAATACTACATTTAGTAAGGAATTATAAGCCAAATAAAATGAAAACATCTGCCCTGAAGATAAGGACAGTGCTGATGGATCAACTTCCAATTCATTGCGTGCCGTGGCGTCTCACCCCCCCTGCAGAGCAGCGTGAAATTGATAAACAGATTTCGGAATGGTTAGGTCATTTTTTGCAGCAATTCCACTTTTGTTTAATGGACTTTGAAACATACTTTCGCTTTGTAGATCCTTTACATATTAGTAAATATATATCGGAAATTCTATTTGACATAATCGAAAGTTCAAGCTTACTTTTAAAAAATTGCTTTAACAGATCCAATTCAAAGATTAAGGAACAACGCAATCTGCAACATTAACTGAATTAGATAATTTTAGCTTAGCTTATACCATTCATTATACATTAAATGCGCATGCTTCAACACGACGCATGCGCAGAAAGTTTGTAGCTTTGAGGTGCGGATTATAGATCATTCCAGATTATGGGTGTCCGAATTAATGACTTTTGACTGTATATGGTTGCAATTCTGGTTATTTGGTTATCAGTTGTAAAATTAATCTCTGGCTGGACATTTTATTTAGCAAGAGGTGACAGATATCATTTTATCTTAAAAATTATGTAAAATAAAAGGTAATGTACTCCTGAAACATTTAAATTTATTTAGACCTGTTTTCAATCGAGTTGAGATAAACAGTTATAATGTTATTTGATTAATATATTTAAAACATTCCTTGTGGACTGAATTCTTTAAATAGCTTGTAAAATCGAAGTAGACATGATGAAATTTATTTTGTTTAACAAATGTTAAAAACAAGCACTTTTTTATTTCCATTACTATTATGCATCGTTTCTAGTTGAATAAGTTGAATAAGTTGAATTAAGAAAGAAAACTGTTGAATTAAATGTTAAATAGAATAAATTTAAAAAAAAAGTACCTTTATTATTTGAAAAACTTTATTTTAAAGGGCAGTGCATTAACAATGTTGAAGTAATCACTAGCGTAAAGAAACAGGAATTCTACTAGTGCCTGGAGATTTAGAGAATCCAATCATAATTATGTTCATAGAACAAATTAACCCTTTGACTGGCAATGCTGTATAGATACTTGCATCTTGAAACATGTCCAAGAATTTGAGGTGATATAAAATCCAGGTATAAAGTACAGTCAAAAGTCGTTAATTCGGACACCCATAATCCAGAATGATCTATAATCCGGACCTCAAAGCTAAAAACTTTCTGCGCATGCGCTGCGTTGGCCCATGCGCACAGGCGTTTTACGCGTGCGCGTAAGACCTTGACTACTGCGCATATGCATGTGCGCAAGTGCAGAATACGTTTTCGCCTGCGCGTTTAATGTATAACGGACGGTGTAAGCTAAAATTATCTAATTATCTATTTCAGTTAATGTTAATGATTGTGTTGTTCCTTAATCTTCGAATTGGATCCCGCTTTATTTTTTTGCAGACTGTAAGAGCAATTTTATAAAAGTAAACTTGAACTTTCGATTTTGTCAAATAGAATTTCCGATGCTTGAACTTCCAAAGGATCTACAAAACGAAAGTATGTCTCGAGTCCAACAAACAAAAAGTGGAATTGCTGCCAAAAAATGGGTAAAGACATGAAGAATGTGACAGAGAGGTTAGTTAGTGAAAACAAAAAAATTTCGATTGACAAGTTAGTCGGTATTCTCGGCACAGCAATTAACGGGACTTGAACAGCGGAACTTTGTAAATGAACAAGAAATTATGTTTTGTTTATAGAATTAAAAGAGAAAGTATTATCACATAAACGAAGCAACTTAAACAACTTACATTGAAAGAAATGTTTAATAAAGTAAACAAATAAATATTAAGCTTTCTTTTTGTAAATTTTGATATCCTTTAGATCATAATTGTTCTTTATTTCATAAATTACGGTTTCATATTTTTAATTTTAGAATTTCTGCAAGCCATCTTACGAGATTTAAACTGATGATCTATAATCCAGAAAAATCGATAATCCGGAATCGCCGAAGTCCCGACGAGTCCGGATTAACGACTTTTGACTGTACTAGGGGCATTTTGACTTTTATATTAATAGAATAATTCTTTCTCATGGTCGTTCTGAAAAATTTGTGTTTTCTCAGTGAAAACCCGAGCTGGTCAGAGGGTTAAAAACTGAAAGTGCTTTGAATTAAAGAGCAGTACATTACAACACTCTGATTTAAAGGGATAGAAAAGTATGATACCAAATTTAAAGAATATTACTGAAAGCAATAACTGAAATTTTATTGAATGTTTTCTAAATCTAGGATACAATAATGCTAGTACAGCTATTCATATGTGCTTTTTTATCTTAGTAAGTTCATTCTTTTTAACCCTTTCCTTCAGAAATGCTGTGTTCCATGTTATTTCCCCCCTCTTAGTTTTCAAAAAGTAAATTTAGTTAAACAAGGAAGAAAAATGCACAAGTAAATATGGTATTTATATACAATCAAAAGTCGTTAATTCGAACACCCATAATCCGGACCTCAAAGCTACAAACTTTCTGCGCATGCGTCGCGTTGAAGCATGTGTGTAAGACCTTTATGGCTGTGAATATGCATGTGCGCATGCTCATAATACATTTATGCATGCACGTTTAATGTATAACAGACGGTATAAGCTAAGCTAATATTATCTAATTCAGTTAATGTTGCAGATTGCGTTGTTCTTTAACCTTCAAATTGGATCCGGCTTATTATTTTTTGCAGACTGTTCGAGCAATTTTATAAAAGTAAGCTTGAACTTTTCGATTATGTCAAATAGAACTTTCCAATATGTACTATTTACTAATATGTAAAGGATCTACAAAGCGGAAAGTATGTCTTGAAGTCCATCAAACAAAAAGTGGAAATTGCTGCAAAAAAGGGATAAAGGCATATCCTTTTGTTTCTCTAACCATTCCGAAATCTGTTTATCAATTTCACAGTTGCTCTGCGGCAAGGGGAGGGGAACGCCGCAGCACGCTCAATGAACTGGAAGTTGATCTGTCAGCACTATTCATATCTTCAGGGCAGATGTTTTTATTTTATTATAGTTTTCGGGTAGATGTTTTCGGCTTGTAGTTCATTACTAAATGTAGTATTTCATCTCGATGTACTCTGTCTTTTATATGATTTAAATCAAATTCATTATAAATATCACGAATACACATCAAAGAGTTTTCTGGTTGCAATTTTCTAATTTTGACTATGCGTAATGTATGCTTTACACATGCGCGCGTTGAAAGAAATGTTTAATAAAGTAAACGAATAAATATTAAGCTTTTTTTTGTAAATTTTAATACCCTTTAGATCAAAATTGTTCTTTATTTCATAAATTACAGTTTCATATTTTTAATTTTATAATTTCTGACTGCCATCTTACCAGATTTAAACTGATGATCTATAATCTGGAAAAATTGATAATCCGGAATCGCCGAAGTCCCGACGAGTCCGGATTAACGACTTTTGACTGTACTTGCATGTGATCTGAAATAAAAAATAAATTCCTGTGCAAAAGGACACAAGTAATTTGTGCAGCATGATTAACTGCTTTATTTTCAAGAATGTAGTTAAGCAATAGAAATTGATCTTTTGAGCATTACACAGCTACACTGTTAACGGCTTGTGAAAAATATTTTGGTACGAATAATGGCAATAGAAATTAATGCTAGAGGGGGAACTAGTACTGTTTTGAAATTTTTTAGAAAACTTAAAATGCACTTTGAAATGATGCATATTGTTGTGAATTTTGTATATATCTAAATAATTTTAGAGAAATTTTATATGAAAGTGTGCTACTTTTTGTATAACGCAACATGAAATTTTTGAAAGAGACGATGCTCTTTCCGAAAAATAAATGATAGCGAGCAAGTTAATTTAACAAAGAGGAAATAACTTTCATGCTAAATCGGCGAGATATCTCCTGGCTGGCAACGGTTTTGGCGACTAATTTTGGTCACCAAATTTGGCAAAAATTTGCCGGAATGTTACGAATATTTGTATATATGTAAGTAATTTTAGTGAAGTTATGTTTACAACTGTAGTATTTTTGTGCAACATAACATGAAATGCTACAAAGAAACAATGCTTTGCAAGAAAAGTAAATTACAGGGAGCAAGTCTGTTTAACATGAGTAAATGCTATATCGTCAAGTAGGCAATGGTTTTCGCGATTAACTTTTCTCCCCAGATTTGACAAGAAATTGCCAAAAGTGATGAAACTTGGCGACATTTGGGTATGTTCCCTGTGTAACTGTAACTGATTCCTGTAATGTAACTATAACTGTATCCAGCCCTTATATGTAACTTTAAACATATGTGTCTTCCAGTAATTTTGAGAAGGAAGATATTAGAGATTTCTCCAGGATAAAACTGCCTAAGCTTGGAGAGAACATCAGCTCTCAGTTGTTAGCTCAGAATTGACTTTGGAGTGTTGAGATATCCGTGAAAATTTTGTCTTTTAGATGTGCATTCAGGATCAGATTTAGATTTGACGAGATCTTAAATTATTTGAGATATGGGACCCTTTATTAGCGGTCCTAAATTTATCCTAATATTTAAATATTTAAAAGATAAATTTATTTCCTAAATTTATCCAAATATTTATCCTAAATTATTTGAGATATGGGACCTTTTATGAGTCAATTTTTTTTTTATATGGGATATGGTTCAGTTTTTGGGAATGACCCCAAGAAAGTTAAGGCCCTAAGCTATAGCTTGTGCAGCTTATGTGTAAATCCATCACTGTGTGCATTGCAATGTGTTTAAGGTTCTTAGTAGTTTGAAGGTTAACTACTGATTATGCTCTGTGATACTGAGAAGAGCCAATACCTTTTTAAACAGAAGCCCCCCTACTGAAATAATTAAGTGTAGTGATGTCACAGATTGTTGGCTATCTCTATAGGGTGTGAAAGATAGCCCCTTTGGTTAAATCTAGCTCATCTCCGTGAGGTCATTCAGATGGCATTAACAAGTTGGGAAAATTTCATCCTTGGTTGTGAGAGGATGCATTAGAGAACCACGGCATTGTTTTAGTAGGTTGAATGTCTGTATGTATGAAAAAATATGCAATCTTGAATATTTTTCTGTTTCCATTATGCCTTTAAAGTGTTGTGTGCCATCATGACGAGGAAATTATAATGATGACCCTAAAGTGTCAGTATACAGCTTTCCTAAACAACCGAAAGCCTAATTTGAAATTAAAATTTATTAAGATATTTGCATCTGTATTTAAAAGAATAGATATATTAATATTATGGAAGTTCATTTCTATAGTATACTTTATGTAAAATGTTGTGTAGAATAACCATACATAAGTATAATTACATATCAAATAGTATGATGGCTTTAGAAAATTTGAGATTTTACAAAGATTCGCTTACTTTGTAAAATCTTCAATTTTTGACTAATTTTATATGCTTTTAAGTTCATACATATATAGCAGAAAATGAAAGTATTTAATGTAATGTCTATTATATTTTTGTACTAGATAAATGTTTTTACAAAGAAACTGTAAAAACAGTAAACATTCTCATGGTTTTTTAAAACTGTTATGTAGAGTGCATAGTTTTGCTTAAAATAAGAAATTAACTAAATTCCTAATGCATGAATATTAAAATTTTAGTAAAACCTAAGAATCCTTTTCATCCCCCATAAATAGGCCCAGTAGCGGCCGAGTGGATAAAGTCCCTGAACACTGGTAGTTCGGTCCGAGGTTCGAATCCCGCAAACAGGCTGGCAGCATGGGTGTTTTCGTGATTTTCCCCATGTCTAATGTGTATACGAGCAGGTTTACCTTAGAAAGTCCTCCATGAAGGCATCCCTCCCCTTAGGCAGATAGCCCTAGTGTGCTTTGCCATAATTAAATACACCACACCACTGACCCCCTCCCCATTGAAGAGCATGTGAACTGATACAAAATTTAGACTGTGGGTGGTTGAAATATTCACATGAAGAAGTTATCAATATCATTATATATATAACAATGTTGTTATATCTAAGTTGATATCTTTTGAAAATGAATCTATGTTTTTTTAAATGTTAAAAACTGTAGGACTATTACAACCCAGCTTACTATAGAATTATTATGTAGTGATGAAAAATATTTGCCATATGAAGCATGCAAAAATTAGCTCTTATCCATAGATCTTAAACTACTTGCACATGTGTTCACTAACATGTTGCTTAAGAATTACTGTGAAAAATAAATGAATTATTTGCCAACTAAGGTGGAAAGATAAGAAAAATTCAAACTTTTAATGATGAGAAGAGATAATTTTAATTTTCTTTTGAGAATTTTTCAATGAAAAAAAAAAAGAAGGAAAGTTTTAGAACTGTAAGGTATTACTTTTAGGAAAATAATTTTATCTAGCTATCATGGGTTCTAGATGCATTCAGTCCATCCATATGCAAGTAACAATACTTTTAAAGGCTGTATGAATTTATGGACTTGCTAGAAATATTTTACAGCCCTTCCCCCCAAAAAAAGTATGTTCTGATGTATGGCTCCAGTCTACTTTTCTGTGTGGATGGAAATATCATTGTTCTTAATGGTAAAGGGGAAGTATTATTTTCAAAATAGGGAAATTTACACTTTTTCTGAAAAGGGAAAAGTGGAAAATAATGATGTTGTAGTTTACTTAAGAGTTCTAATTTTTTGCTTAGATTCTTGTCCTTTCTGATTATCCACACTCTCAATTTAAATTTTCAGTAGATTTACCATGTTTTTGTAGTATTTTTGATTAAACACTGGAGAATAATCAACCCACACATGCACATATTACACATGTCTTAATACACATGGATTTACATGCTTTATATTTAACCATCATTTCTTTGGTCGGTACTTTTTGGCTCTAAAAATGCAAATATTAACTACATAGATTTTTACTTTTTCTAATAAAATGCATCTTTTCATTATTACATATGAGCAGAAGAGTACCTTTGAGCGCCAAAGCCATTTTTCACTAAATTGTAAAATTGCCAGTGATCTGGTGACACCTCATCAAGGAGCAAATAATAAGAAAATACCATTTTCTCTATATTTGTATTGTGCTTCTACTTTGTATGTATTGAATTATTTTTAAAGATTTTCTAAAATTTTGATAAGTTTTAGTTACCAAATAACTAATTATCAATATTAAAGTTGTTAGGTGATACTTGCACACGAGGATGCCGTTTTTGCTCTGTCAAAACTTCAAGAACTCCTCCTCCACCTGATCCCAATGAACCTAAGAATACTGCCAAAGCTATAGCTGATTGGAATTTAGATTATGTTGTTTTGACTTCAGTAGACAGAGATGGTTTGTATTAATACTGTTTTGTTTATATCGATAATATAATACATAATATTTTTAAAACAGTATAGTGGTTAGACTGAAGGGTCCTGGTTTGAATCCCAGAGAAGGCATGTTTGTAACTGTCCATTCCTTCATAGGAGGCAATGGTGGCTGCCTATTAGGTGCCTCCACAATAAAATGGCCACCATTTCTGGCCTTAGGAGTGGACCGAAGCTGAATAGGCAAGTGCCTGTCATTGGATAAAAAAATAGTATTTTTTATGCATTAACTTAGCAAGATTACTTGCCAAAATACAATTTTTATTAAAAAACTAGTTTCCAGCAAATTAATTAATTCAGTACAAAGTATGAATAGTACGAATTGCAGTATACAAATAGTAACATTAATCATTTGGGCTCATTCTGCCATAATTAGGGTTAGTTGAAGACATTTTCTCTTTTTTTTCTCGAGCAGATGCCTGTAGCATCCGTTTTGGTATTAGTGCCAGTAAAATACCTTTTTGACACATTCCGGATTTGGGATTTTTACGGATATTAGATCATCAATTTAAATCTGGTAAGATGGCATATAAAAATTATACAATTTAAAAATATGAAATCGTAATTTATGAAAAAAAGAACAATTATGATCTAAAGGGTATCAAAATTTACAAAAAAAGCTTAATATTTATTTGTTTACTTTATTAAACATTTCTTTCAATGTAAGTTGTTTAAGTTGCTTCCACAAAAAATTCAAGAAGTTCCTTTTTCTTACATCATATGCAGTCGACTTTCTAATGCCATACTCCTCGCATAATTTTGAGACGGATATGCCTTTATCCATTTTCTGCAATAATTCCACTTTTTGTTTAATGGACATCGAAACATGGTTTCACTTTGTAGATCCTTAGGCAGCCCAAGAATTGGAAAGATAATTTCAGCCTAGTTTAATAGCATCTGTTATACATTATTGGCTGTGTATCACAAGATTGGGAAAAAAGCCAAGTTGTTCTGCTAATTGTCTTGCTCCTACTGTGCACTGAATTAAGCCAGAATTGTATTAGTTTAGTTATTTACTTTACCTACATTTATTTCTTGCACATGCTTAAAACTAACCAAAGTCCTGAATAAATAAACTCCCACATATACTTAAGGTTTTATCTAGAGCCGGTGCTAGATACCACCTGGTGCAGTTTCTACGAGTCCTAAATTTTGCTACAAAGCTCCTTCCTAAGTTCTGAATTTTCATCGTGCCTAAACTTTGGATCCCAGGTGCTTTCCCTAAACCATAAAAAACTTCTCATCCCTTAATTTTGCCGCTTGGTGCTTCCCCAAATTCCAAAAATTTCGCCTTCCGTAAATTCTGCCATCTGGTGCCAACTTATTCTGCCGCCGCTTCTGAGTTTATGGTGAATAACCTATCAGTTATTCTTAATTACAATGGTACTAAATGTAACCTTTTGGTCTATGAGTTTCATTAACAAAATATATTTTTAGCATATGAAAAAAAAATTTTGTTGAATTTTTTTCGTCAACATACATTAGAGCATTTAAAAATCTATAATCATTGCCGAGAGTAATGCTAGCATAGAAGTTTGCCAAACTCTTGTAATTCAATTGCTAATATAAAAAAAAGTTTGGACATCACTGCATGAGTTATTACTGAAGCTAATGTGTAGATAAACATGTGGTGATGAAAGTAAAATATGATAAATAATGACTCGCCAGGCCGGCGTCAGGGATATAAAATAGGTGAATGTTTGGTTTGAGATGTATGCCAAGCAGATACTCAGCTATGGAGCCAAATTATTAATCTCACAATTTTTGCTTACATGATTGTTTTTTCATAATGATGTATTTTATTTAGTGCCTAAGGGAAATTAAGAATCGGAATTTTTAAGTGAAAATCTCCACATGTTTTATTATGGAAGGAAAAATCAAATGCGCATGCGTAAAGCATACCAAAAAAAGTTTGTGGTTTTGAGGTCCAGATTTTAGATCATTCCGGATAATGGACATTCGGATTTCTACAAATAATGGTAAAAATTATAATCAAACCTAGTCATTTTGGTGCTGCATATTGAGGGCATTTATGAATAGTTTTTAAGCTCTCCTCCTTTTTTTGGTATATATCATAATCAAAATTTTCTCAAGTGTATCATATTAGCTAAGACTACTTTTTGTTTCATTTTGTACCTGTCTGCCATTAAAACACTGGGCTTAAGAATTGCTTCCTTCTGTAACAGTAATCATGAAAAATGAACAAAGGATTCAAGAAGACAGCATTGTGAATTAGATGACTAATTTTTAATGAATTTATAGACTACTGTAAAATAATTGACAGTGTTTTAAATTAACTGCAGGATTCTGATCTTGGTGATGATGGCAACACTGAAAAGGTATAATTTAAATGAAAGATTTGCCTTAGAGAAAAATGTTTACAATTTTTATATGAAATCCTCCGTACTAATATGTTATAAATTTTTAAAACAAACTATTATAAAGTGATGCTTAAAAATATAGAAATAAATTTTTGTATGTCTCTTTACATGCTCTTTTTCGTTATTTTCTATTTATAAGTTTCTTGTTTTTCTGTACAAAAATGCCAGAAAGAAATTTATATATTGCTTTTAGATGCTTAGTATAATTTTAGATTATTTATTTTCCTTTTATATAGTCTATTTATTTTTTCTTTTTAATTTTCTAAAACCTGCAAAATCCTCAAATTTAGTGCAACTTCTTGTCCAAAGCCTGAGTTTTTGGTCTTTTCCTGTATGATCATAATCATTCCCACTTCAGTGCTTGAAGTGGCTTATGAACTTATATGAATCAGATGAGAATATGACTTTTGCTTTGAAAGTGCTTATTATATATTGTGTGTGTAACCTTGACTAATCTAGTGGCATCAGCTTCTATGAATTGCCTCAAATCATAGTTAATTAAAAAATTTCTGAAATTTGAGGAAATAGTTAAGATTTGAAAAACCTTCTTTTTGAGTGACCAGAAATGACTTTCTTCACATAATTATTGAAACAGTTACAGTAACTGTACTTGAAAGTCTATATTTATAAATGGCAGCTGAAAAGAAAATAAATTTGAATGGTACTCATTATAATTTTATGATTATAAATTTAGCTTTTATATTTTTAATGGACAACCATAAATGCAAAACTAGTTTTTCATCTGACAATTTTATTTTTTGATAGAAAACCCCTGCAGGATCATATAAATATATTCGTTGAATGTTTCTGTTATAATTGATGCTAAAGCAAAGTTTAAAGTTTATAAAATTTAACATTTAGCAGTAGTAGCAATAAAAGCTCCCTGATATATCATGTTGTGCAGACATTGACGACAATAAAAGGTTTTGAACTTAACCAATTTATTAACAATATAATAAAGAATAAAAACACAGAAAATAAATTTCAACAATATCAGAGTCTTAGGAAAAATATAATATAACCATCATTCATCAAATAATATTTTTACCTGGTCTCCAAAACGCTGGCATTCAATACAAACAAAAATGTCCTAATCATTAATTATGCGGCCTAAAAATGAAGTTGGCTACACATTCAAAACGTCCATGATTAATGGTTGAGAAAACACCTGAAAATTTAACTGAAGTTCTTGAAAGCACTTAAAACCGGCCTAACTCCGTTTGCACCAGGAATCGCCGCTCACGTGTTTTAAATGCCGCCTTTATTGAAGAACATGGATGCCGCCCACGGCAGTCACTCACATGGTAGCCTCTGTAACCAAGGAATTTATTCCGGAACAATAATCTTGTGGACATGAACCAAGGAACTCCATTCCGGAAAACAACCATCCACGCAGACAGGCACCAAAGGAACTTTATTTAGGAACAGCCATCCCGCAAACCGGAACCAAGGCACTTTATTCACCGGACTGCATGCATCCTTCTAAAGGGGCTGGAAACCGCTCACGCAAGTGCCAGGAAAGCAGGAATTAGAAGAAGGAGAACTGGAAGGAGGGCTGAGCCTGCTTAAATGCTAATTGCTTATGCTTATATTAGCCCAGTTGGGCTTTAATAAGCTATATTGATCTAATCCCCTAAGGACAATCAGAATGTCAACTATCAGCTAGTTCCCAGCCAGGAAATCGGAGCGGGTAAGGAAAAGAGCCTTGATCCTTGATCCTTGATCCTCAGACTTTTAAGTAGTATCAGCCCTACTGGGCTTTGACTAATATAAATCTCTTCGATGACATCATGGAGTATTCGTAAAAGCTTTAATAAAAGCTATTTTTGGCAATAATCAAAGTTGAATTTCAGATGTTGGAGTCTTCTTTTGAAAAATCTGTACATTTTAAAAATTCTTGAAAAATATAATATTCACACAAATAATAATAATTCACACAAAATACAAGTAGTAAAATTTTTTCTAGGTTAAATACGGAGAAGATAAATATAATACAAGTCCTATTTGTGTTTAGCGTTCGGTAGGACCGAACCGTCGATCTCGTTGGGCAAAAATTTTCCTTGGTCTGTGCCACTCGGCTACGTCATCATCTGTGTTCTAAGCGCTAATAAGGGCTTATACGAAGAGTTCCAGTGCTTGTAGGGCGAAATCTAACTTTTCATTTTCATTTGAGACTTTTGTGAACTTGTGGTAAAGATCTTTTAACTTGAATATCAGTGATTTAAATTCATCTAAATTTTTGACGTCAGATAGTTTAGTTTTTTCTATTTCTTTAGGTGCCGTAACGTTAGCGTATGTCTTCTTATTGCTGTTTTCTGTGATCGGTTCTGGATTTTGTGTATTTAATTTGGGGGAAGTCATCTTTTTGGGCGGAATTTTTTGTTGAATTTTTTGCTTTTGTAAGTATTTTTTGCTTGGATGTTCAGGACAATCTATGCTTGTAGCGGCGTGAAAACCGCTACAAAGCACGCATCTTGCTGGTATTTCTTTTTTCTCTTTTATTGGGCATTGATATGAAAGATGATTTTCTAGGCATCGTACGCATCATGGTAAGTTGTGGCACGCTCTCTGCGTATGTCCATAG